AAAAGAATTCATATCTGCATTAAAGGAGCATTGGAAATCTGATTCATTTTTGTGATATGCTTTGGAATCACTGAATCAAAGATGCAATAAAAAGGCAAAGTTTCAATAAAATTTGGGGAAAAAAAGGCAGGGGAAAACAGACAAGGAAGCACTTTCACTTAGTAAAACAATACAAATGCATCTGAGAAAAGACTTTGGGTTTGAGTCTCATTTATATTAAGATTATCTTCACTGTTTGTGTAGCATACAAAAAATTTGTATACAAACAAGAATCAGGCCCTTTGTATACAAACCCGAAAATCCTGAAAACAAGCAGTTTTAATAAATTTGCTGTCTTAGCTTTAGCTATACCTACTCTCCTGAGGGCTTTCATGTTAGTGTTACTATTTTCATCTATAGCACGATACTACTGAACTTCACAAAACGGTGTCACCTTATAACCCCTATGTTCCCATTGTGCGTCCCAAATCTTTTGCTAGAAGTAATACTCCAAGCTTTTGCCTGTTTGGGAACATGGGTTCAAACACCCATTAAGTTCCCATGGACAGAGAGTACGGGTTGTCATAATCATAGGGGAGATTTATCTATATCAAACGGCCCACACACAATTTAGCAGGACTGAAAGAATTTCTTTATGCAAATCCCAGGACAGGAAAAGCCAGGGAAAACTGCATATCAGAACAAAGATGCATTCATAGAGCTTGTATATTTCTGGAACAGGTCTAATGTAGATCAGAGTAGATTTGTATTGCTAGAGGGGTATGAGAGGCCCAGAATAAGAACTGTGAGGGTTGCTGCAGATGAAAAAGGAGAAGAATATGTCTGGAACAGTATTGGCTGATGGAAATAAAGTGCAAAGGATGTGGCTTTTCCAGACATAATTCAGATCAACGTTTCTTGTTCTTCACTGAAATGGACATTGAATTCAGCAGCAACATATTTTTAAAATGATAATTGTACAGTGGTGAGAAAATGCTGTGCAATAGCTTGTCATCTGCAGTCATAACACTGAATAATAGGTTGATAGAGAAGGCACAGAAGGGTGATGGGATCCTATATGGATGTTGTCCAATCAATAGTTAGGAAACAGTTAATTTAGGATTTTCTGGTCCCTCGTGGAGAATTCTGCTGCTTCAGAGCCATTAAATCACCAACACTGCCCTCAATGAGGCTGGCCAATTTCAAACTGTCCTTGTGAGTCATGCAGTAGGATAAACCATGCAAAGAATCAATTCCTTGCAGCTGAGCCACATCCCAAACCCAGGTTGCCCTAAGACTAATTTGTATAGATGAAAAGTGAAGCGAAAGAGCACCACCTCTTTGCTCCCATGGTGCTCCCAAATCATAGCACCATGTGTGCGCTTTAAGGGTCAAAATCATATGTTTTAAAATTGAACTGGGCTGAAATCTGGCATAGAGAAGTAATGCAGGTTAGTAAAGTAATTTTTTAGTGCTAAGGAGTCCAAAATACTTTTTTCCCCCAGCTATGGTAGTGGGTTTGATAGGGTTTGATGTTTTTTTTTTAAACCTCTTCTGTCTAAAGACATATCTGAAAAGTGGCTAACATGCTCTATATGGTCACTTTTCTTGAGAATATTGTGTGCTCCAGATGAAACTTTATCAAGATACCACTGACTTCAATTACTACAAATATTTATACAATGCTGCCACTTAGGGGTACTCATGCATATCATGATCACACTGAACAAGACAATGATCATGCAGAGTATTATGTTAGAATACATTATAATCCAAGTAGATAAGACAGACAATGGGGTGAAAGAAAGTAAGTGTAACCTCCCTGTGTTTTTTTCACTATACTGTAACATTGGACAACAAACATTATGTAGCTTGCCCAAGACATAAAGGGAGTCTGTCTCATAATCTGGAATTTAACATCAATCTCCTGGATCCAATATTTTAAACATAAGATCATATTTTCAAGTGCTCAGCACCCACCCACAATTGGGACTCGATTTTCAAAAGACCTCATCTCCTATTTACGCTGATAATGTCTAGAGTTTTCCAAAGTGCTTAGCACTTCCTGTTGAAAAATACAGGCCCAAAGTTCTAAGCTTATTTAAAAATTTGATTGCTTGAATGGGATCTGAGTTGTCTATAAAATCTGATCTCAGTTACAGATATTGAGCAGCTCTTCATATTCAAAGCTGATGTAAATCTGTTTCAGTCCTTTGACTATGAGCTAGCTGAGGATATGGCCTGGCCCTTTGTCTCTGGGGATTAATGTTTGTAGTGCATGGGCCCAATTCTGCAAACACTTCCTAGGGTGCAAATGACAGCTGGTAGGAACTGTTAGCAAGATTGGGACCTATATTTACCTTTAGCTTTACACCATTTGCTTGTTGATACCATATTTCAGCTCTACTGAAGAGCTTATTATTAAAAAAATAACAAGGTGTCTGCTGTCTTCTCATTGTGACAGGTTTGCCTTTTGTTTTGACTTGTGCTTAGGAGAGGGAAAAATGCGTACTTCCGTATGAATTATTCGGAAATAGTCTCTCCCTGCTCCTCTAATTTGTATTTAGGTTAATTGCACTCTTGGTGGAAGTGTTTAATTGATTTGCAGAGGGAAAGTCAATGCCAGTCTGTAGTTTAGTGATGACACCACATAACTGCAAAGACTCCTTTTCTAATTAGGGCTAAAGTAAGAAGCTGCCTCTCAGAAAACTACAGAGAATTCTCTAGGGATGAACTCCTGTTTTGGTTCACTTCTTCTTCCAAGGCAAATCTTTCCTCTACATGTCCACTCAACCAGCAAAATAATGGAAGATGGTTCTAGCAAGAAACACTGTGTAAGGTAAAGAACCCAGCGAGCATTAAAATAAGATGTCTTGTGGAAGAGGCTGATCTCAAATAGAGGTTCGGTGGTGTTTTTTTTAATAGAAAGAATCTGAGAACACCTTGGCATATGTTATTTTCCCACGTAGGCTGATGTTTCCCAAGGAACTGAATGAAACTAGCCACTCAGCACACCTTGAATTTCAGTGTTGTTACGGCACTTAGGTTTCATAGATTTCATAGACATTAGGGCTGGAAGGGACCTCAGAAGATCATCGAGTCCAGCCCCCTGCCCCAGGGGCAGGAAGTCAGCTGGGGTCACAGGATCCCAGCAAGATAAACATCCAAA